GCGGATGGATCGTATTCAGAGAGAGAACTGTTGGGGAAACTGTCTGACGAAGGTCCAATATGGAGACGGATGCTGCGTTCGAGTTACTTCAGAAGTCAGATGTCAAAATGACGTCACACCCGAGTTACCAGCGTTTCAGTTACCAAGTCAGAAAAAAGCAAAATCGGAGGCTGAAACAAGATGTCTACATCTACGAAAGTTATTTAGAGCTCACCTTGTCTGAGTATAAGGGAAGCTGACTTTGAACGCTGCGTTCCAGATACCTCGGAGGTCGGATGTCGGAGCTGGGAATGACGTTACACCTGAGTTGACGGCGTTCCAGTTAACATGTTGGAAAACCAAGATTGACTACGACTGGTAGCCATTGTTAGCCAGTGTCAGTTGTCATTAGCTGTTGTCAGTTTTTGTTGGCCATTGTCAGCTGTTGTTGGCCTTTGTCAGTTTTTGTTAGCAGTTGTCATCTTTAGTTAGCTGTTGTTGGTTGTTCTTAGCCATTGTTAGATGTTGTTGGTGGTTGTCAGCTATTGTTAGCCATTGTCAGTTCTTGTCAGCTGTTGTCAGTTGTTGTTAGCCGTTGTCATCTTTAGTTAGCTGTTGTCATCTGTTGTTAGCCGTGGTTAGCTGTTGTTAGCTGTTGTCAGTTGTTGTTAACTGTTGTTAGTTGTCGTTAGCTTTTGTTAGCTGTTGTTAGCTGTTGTCAGTTGTTGTTAGCGGTTGTTAGTTGTCGTTAGCTTTTGTCATCTGTTGTTAGCCATTGTCACTTCTTGTTAGCCGTTGTCAGTTGTTGTTAGCTGTTGTCAGTTGTTGTTAGCTGTTGTCAGTTGTTGTTAGCCGTTGTCAGTTCTTGTTAGCGGCTGTTAGTTGTTGTTAGCTTTTGTCATCTGTTGTTAGCCATTGTCACTTCTTGTTAGCGGTAGTCAGCTGTTGTTAGCTGTTGTCAGTTGTTGTTAGTTGTTGTCAGTTGTTGTTAGCGGTTGTCAGTTGTTGTTAACTGTTGTTAGTTGTTGTTAGCTTTTGTTAGCTGTTGTCAGTTGTCGTTATCCGTTGTCAGTTTTTTTAGATGTTTCAGATAAATTCCCAACTCGGCGCTCAGAAATCCTGACTTCTGAGTCCAACTGTAACGCAGCATTAGTCGTGGTCCCCTCAAACATCCTCCTCCTCTCAGATTGCCTCCATTTTATTTCATCGCTGACGTTTGAGATTTTGCCAACATCGTGACTGATTTGATAAATCGGTTCAGTTTGTTCCAGCTCGATGTCAAACCAGTATCATCTTTAGCATACATCCAGATCACAGACGACTTTATTACCTAAACAAATCGATGAGAGTCCCGGAGACGAGCAGCCACAGTTTGCTGCCACAGCGGGCCTGCAGCTGATGTATCACAGGACATTTTGTAGGAATGATTTGTCGGGGCCTTGGTGTCAAAAAAAGCAATTTGAAGCATCAAAAGAATTTCTGAGCGCGTCCCTGTCTGCAGCAGGAAACATGCTGTTCATCACCCCCACAGTACAGAGCGAGCTGGATGTGTGTCACAGATCTCCAAAGAGGGATAAAGTACATGTACACATCAGAAAGAGGCTGAGTCAAACCGCAGACGGGGAACAGTGAGTTCGTCTGATTCAAGTCATGATGGCTGTCACGCTTCATTCATGAAGACGGTTGAAGCTGCTTCAATGGGTCTGATGGAGTCCAGGAGGAGGTGGAACAAAAGCGGACCGTAAAGGTGGGTTGATTAAGTTCATTTCAGTTCTGTACTGATGCTGAATAAAACAAACTGTTGATAAAACAACCGTTTACAGTCATTTACATCCACATCTCATCATCTAAGAGATATGATCCGTTGAGACCAAAAAAAACTTCAACACTAACACCGAAATTTTTCTGTTGGACTCTTGGAATAAAAGCCTGATATCACTAAAAAAGATCCAAATAAACATTTCAACATACTGGGCTGTTGTTTTATTTAGTTATGCCTGGATATGGGTCCGTCTTTCGAACTCCAACCACTGCTGCTCGGGTGGAGTGGGTATAAACTCGCTGCTGTGACTGTTGATCTCGGATGCTGCGTTAGTGTTAGCTACCGTAGCTGCTAACTTTGTCGAAGCATGCGGCTTCTCTAGGTGCTTCAGTAGATTACTGTCACTGTTGTTCGCCGTAGAAAGGATCTCTGACCTGCGACACATTTTACCGAAATGTTGTTTTTCCTTTTCCTGTCCAGTCCTCTAAATGGCGTGTGTTCGATTAGGTGTGAGACGCTAAGGGGCGACAAGTGCTTCGTTTTTCTAATTTAATTAAACTTTATTGATCATTAAAATGATATGGAAACTGTGTGCTGTTGTAAAACTTAACCAATAGGAACGAAGTAACGCAGCGTTTGGTAACAGACATGATGAAGAAAAAGAGCAGAGTGGTTTTCATGTAATAAAGGGTTAAATTTATACAGAACAGGAGTTTCTTATCCTGGTAGACAAACATCTCTTCACCAATCTGAGAGGAAGTTGTTCAGTCTAGACTCTGACCCCCAATTTTCACCACATCCGGAACGGCTACGAAAAGGCTGTATCAGCTGATCATAGCTGATCGTAACCATTCAAGTTAACGTGTCAATTTACACCGACTTCTTTCCGTTCCTCTGCGGATCGCCGGACTCCTCAGCTGAACACAAGAGTTCAAGTGAAAGGTTTTTAGACGTCATTTCACCCCGATGACACCATGGATGAGGAGATGCTGATTCTAGAAGTCTAGAAGTAGATTTCCTCCTCTGGAAGGACACGATCTACTGCTTATATGGTTATCTATGTGGCTAAAGACAACTTGTTATCGAGCGATTGTATGTGAATCCGTGGGTTCTTGTGAGTTCTCGCAGTTCCTACTGTCTGTAATCCACCACAAAATTCGCCTCACAAACGGATCCGGTTGGAATTGGCATATGGCGAAAATCACCGCCGTTCAGGATGTGGTGGAAATCCCGGTAACGGCTTCATGATGACCAATAAGAAACTTCATGTCGATGTAGATCCTCGTCCTTCTATTCTGAAAATGCAACAACCTTTACCTCTGTCTAGAAAACACTCTTCAAAAACCGACGGTCAGAAGAACTTCTTTGATTTATCTTCCTGCAAAAGTTCCAGCTGTTGCCAAATCTCACCTTGTCTCTGAAAAATCGATTTCAGGCCCATTACTGGAGGATCTGCCGGACGGAAAATTGCCCAATCTTTGAAAGGCATTTGCTGTAAAAGCAGTCATTGACCTGATGGGATCCCGTGGTTATTGTCAAGTGGAATTACTCTGCTCAGATACTGGATGCACCGGCGGCCGTTTGGACCCCCACGCCGGACTGCACTGATGTGGACGGGTGGTCAGATTCCATTTTCAGCTGCAGCACAGATACTTTCAGTTTCTTCCATTCAAAGCTGTTAAATCTGGGGCTCACAGGCAGCGCTGCAGGCACCGACTGTGCTCATAATAACAAATTAAAGTTTCATTAGCAGAAACTAATTTCAAGTGGAGAAAATTTCTTTGACAAGTTGGATGGTTTTGGGACATTAAATAGAAATAGAGCGGGCGTATTAAAGCGCCCGGCTGTTTGCACTGATCTTCATGTAGGAATGAAACACGAACACAAGTGACGTGTGTGTCCACGCCGATTATTCAGTCCTGCTGTAGCTGAGGCTGACACAAACACACAAACACACAAACAAACGCACACAGCAAAGAGCACTACATCCTCCTCGAGGAGCGACTCCTGGTCTCTGACCTTTAAATAAAAAAAAATCATTTTCCAGTCGAAAAGATGGTTTGATTTATTAGATTTATTAGATTTATACAATCAGGAGTAGAGAGAACGAGTTAGTCTGCAGTGCATTATGGGACAATTAAGTAAAGTTCATTTAAAGAAAGGTGAAACACAATTTTAAATTTTAAATATATATGTATAATTTAGCACCAGCCCTGTGATTTAAACTTCTTTAACAATCATTATTTTTGCTTTTATTTTGAAATTTTTTCTTTTGGATTTCTGTCAACAACACTCGCCTCTTGCCTCGCGGATTTGTTCGCTCACCGCTGGTACGAGAATTCAGCAGCTCTTTGTTTCACCTGTCAGCTGAACCGCCAATCACAGTCAAGCTTTTCCTGCTCACTTCTGTAAGTTGACGGAGAAGTAAACAGGAAGTAAACAGAATGACCGAACAGTCTGTGTCCTTAAAAAAACGGCAAATCAACAGATCAGTTTAATCATTTAAAGACGTTCTTCCTGAGTGATTATGAGGAAAACATGAAAATGTGGGCGGAGTCTGAACAGCCTGACACTGCTGACGGTACGAGTAGCATTAGCAGTTTAGCTACAACTAGCAAGACCAAAGCAATCAATCGTCTCATCTACGTTAACATCATCTAATGTTTACATTTTAAGGCGTCTTTGTTATCTCTAAGGAGGATATTTGTTACAAAACACTCAGGACTGTAAAGGACTGTTTACTTTGTATGTTAATAAAATGTTGAACTAATCTCGAGTTTCTTTAGTTTTTAGTTCAGATACTTTAAAACTGGCAGTTTAAAAAAAAACAAAAAATAAAATCATGATAATAATCGAGATCAGATGACTTGACAAAAATACCGTCATAATTTTTTATGCCAAATTTCCCAGTCCTCCTTTCACCTCAGGTAAGACCAGTAATTATCAGTTACATGTTTTGAATATAACTTGTATAACTTTACTTTTCCTGTGCGTGAACAATAAACGAGGACGTCCTGAATATTAATGTCAGCTGATTGAGAAATGCGCCGAGCTGCTAAAACACCTCGTCATGTCGCACGTTTCCAGGTGGATCACATTCAAGTCAAAATCATCTCAGCCCAACTTTAACTTTCCTCTGTGTGTCGCAGACTTGATGATCGAAGCTTTTCCGCTCACGAACTAAAGGATTTGACCCGAATACATCCACTTGGGTCTCCAGTGACCCGAGCCTGCTGCTGCAGCTCTTCTGCAGCTGCGATTTTCCATTAGCGCGTGACAGCGGGGTCGTTTATAGCAGCAAAGCCCTGTGGAGAAGCAGGTTAGCTGTAATTATTCAGCTGATGGGTTATGAGCAGGAGAAGGGCAGGCCTGTCACACCTCTGCCGACTCCCTGGACTGAAGAAATCAGGAGCCGGGAGAAGAGTGAAGTCACACCGGCAGGAAACGTCTCCCTGGAGAAGGAGTGAAAGGGCAGCATTAGTTTTGAGGGATTATAGAGTCTCTGTCGGGGTAACATCCAGCTCCAAACTACACAGGGAGGGAAGTCAGGAATGACTGGTTTAGGGTTCGGAGAAAAACCTCAATCAACCCGGATATTTTTGGTTTTTGATCAGGTGTCCATACGTCCTCTTCAACCCGGACATGTCCTCTTTATGTCCGGCCTGTCGGGGGGAGTTAACAAAATCCTTCAAATGTCCAGGATTTTTCATGGAGGTTTTGAGTTTGTGTAGCGTGGACTAACTGAGTTACCCACAATTTCCACTGCATCCAGAACGGCGCAGATTTTCGCCTCCGCCAATTCCTACTGGATCTGTTTGTGAGGCGAATTTCGTGGCAGATTATGGACAGCGGCTATTACAAGAACTCACAAGAACCCGCGGTTTCACGTGCTATTGCGCGATAACATGTAGGGCCCGACCAGTATGGACTTCTTGGGGCCAATACCGATTGTTTGGGGGGAAATCTGACTACCGATTGATCGGACGATTTTTTAAATCTTTTATAAAGTTACAAAAATATATATATACTGTAGGAATCAACAATATACTATATACTGTAGGCTACTGCTCTTTACAGGAAGACCGACTGATCAAACTCAGACCAGAAAAGCGTTTTCAACTACCCCCCCTCGATCGGTGCCTCTGTGTCTTAACTCGCGTTAAAATAAAATAGGGTCTTTCCCCGACTTCCTTTCCAGCACGGGTTAATCTGTGCTGAATTTATCCGCCATGCTCTGGCGTCCAGAAAAAATAGAACTCTTGTGATCAGCTGAGGAGTCCGGCGATCCGCAGAGGAACGGAAAGAAGTCGGTGGAAATTGACACGTTAACTTGAATGGTTACGATCAGCTATGATTGGCCTTTTAGTAGCCATTCTGGATGCTGTGGAAATTGAAGCGTGAAAAAACACTTTTTTTGTGCACGATTCCACCCCGTATAGTATCGTCCTCTTTTTGTAGATTCAGAATATGGTCACTTAGTTTCTGACCAATCAGGATGGAGCCTTCTACAGAGATTAATCATAAGTAAGATTTTGCAGCTTTGCAGTGGAGCAGATTCAGAGCACTCACCCCGAACGTTTGCCTTCGACAAACAAAAATGAAGACGTGATTCGCAGAGACGCTGTGCATCTTCAAATTGGAAATCCATTTGCTTGTCCATCAAACCCGAGCGCTCCCAGCCCTCTCCTCGTCTAATGACCATAATTACTGTCATTGTTCATAATGCATTATGCAGCGCCTGGACTAATTATGCACAAAGGACGCTGCTTTGCCAAATTCTTATTCATGGATCTGCACACGGCATTGTTTTCATTTCAGGTTGATTCGATGTTCAGAGTAATGCACAGCTCAGCAAATACCAGGTCGCTCTCAGCAGCCAAACAAAGGAAGCTCTTTTCCAGGCATTCACCGCACCTCCCTGGAAACTGTGCATGAGCCCTGCCGCGCTGTAAAGAGCAATAATTGCAGCCTCTGATGTGAAAACACAGAGAGAGCTGAAGTAAAGAGGTCTGAAGGATGAGTCGTTTCACCGGTAAAAGCCTCATAAGTAGGTTTTATAAACCGGAGCAGAGAACAACGTGTTTCAAAGATGGAGACAGTAAAAGGCTGAAAAAAGAACGAGCACCGGGACCACCAAGGCCTCTCTGAGACTTCGAGGTTCTCATTGACCCTCATGACTCCTGTCATAATTCAGCAGCTTTGTATAATGTTCAGATTAAAGGAAACAAACGCTGAAATAAACGCCATCATCAGGTCAACGCCATCTTTTCTAAATGAAACCAGACAAAGATCAGGGAAATGATTCTTGAACAGACTTGACCAAAAAGTGTGAACCCTCTGAGGAGACAAAAACTGATCAGGAGAGCTCATTCGATTACCCGTTAATCGGACGATTTTTAAATTTTTTATTAAGTTATAAAAAATATAAATACTGTAGATATACTGTAGGTTACTGCTCTTAACAGGAAGACCGACTGATCAAACTCGGACCAGAAAAGCTTTTTCACCTCACCCCTCGCCGATCCTCATTTCCGGTCCGGTCTCATCTGGAGACACGCAGCTGCCTCAGTAAGAGAAGTCGCTCGATCACTAATGTGTACTGTTGTTTATTCTACCGTTACTGACACGGCTAACAGTGTAGCTAGGCTAATAGCAGGTGGCTAACTCTGACTTTAGCTTCATATTACATGGTGCTTCAGCGTTAACTGGGCGTGGCCGAGACCAGCACAGCGGGGAACATGGTGAAGTGGGTTGAACTGAAACTTGTTAACTTATTGTGTTTTTCACAAACTGGTTTATTTCCCGTTGAGGCGGACCACTCTCCTCTGTGCGTCCCTGAGCTGCTGCTTCAGATCCGTCACTCTGCTGTGCTGTGAGGTAGTTATGAGGTCGCTGTAGCGCCATCTACAGGAGAAGTCGGGAAAGTTTTTACATGGTGGAACATTTTCAAAGTGAAACCAAATCTTATTCTCCGCATTTTATTTATGAAAATATCGGCGATAAATTGGCAAGTTTTGGCCGATTACTGATTAGTCTCAAACGGGCTAAAATTGGCCGATTTAATCAGCTCGCCGATAAATCGGTTGGGCCCTAGTTTCTGGTTATGTGGTCATCCTAATGCTAACGTTACTTCCTTTTGTCCCTGCTGTGCGAAGACTTCCCAATCTTTAGTCCCAAAGTTTTTAGGTGGTCGTTGTTGTTTTGGAGGAGCTCCAAGAGGAGGGGGGCGGGGCTAGACAAAGTCCGGAGGAGACGCTACGTTCAAATTCATGCTAGTTTGCTGTGATTACCAACTCTACCTTTACGGATCGTCCTGATGAAGCCGCTCAGCTGGTGTCTGAGTCAAAGCCCACCATCAGACAGACGGAGGTGTTGCGGTATTAACGCCGCCGCGGTTGGATTTGTCGGTTTCTTCCTTTAAACTCCTCCGGCGTTTCTCTCTCTCTCTCTTGTTTCTTATCGTTTTAGCGCCAGATCCCGTCACGCCACCTCGTGTGTTTCACAGTTTCAGAGGCTCGGCTGATCTGGTTGTGCGGTTGCCTCCACTTTGCTGAGCTCTGCTGATCCCTCTGGGTTTGGAATAAAATGTTGTGCGCCGTGTTATCGAATCGGGCGGACCTGACTATACTTCACAGAGCAAATCTCTCCCTGCCGATGCAACAAAGACAAATTAACACGCTTTTACTCCGGCGCAGCAAATATGAGGCCTCACAGATGGAGCTCGCAGTGACTTTGCAGACAGACACGCTCGCGGCTGTAAATCAGGATGAGTAACGCCGAGGCACTTCTCACTTTTCTCCATTAGAGCCTTTTTGAATGAGTGCCTCTGGCAGCCGTCCTTGTCCGGGCGTTTTGATTTGGTGCGAGTGGACCGGAGGGCCCTCTGTGATTTGCAGCGACGCCATTTTCAGCCTCTGCAGTGAATTAAGATTGCAAACCACGACAGAGATCGAGCAACAATTTGTTTTAAGATTACAGTGATTAAACTGTCAAAGCTCGCAGCGGCAATATTTCAGCTGCGGAAACATGCAATTTGTCAGGGCTGCATTATGAGCTCACTTTAGACATCTTAAAAGTGACATCTGGAACAAAAAAGGGAGCCGTCAAAACAAACGACGCTTTGTGCGAGCAGAGTCTGAATAAGTGCCGAGCGTTTCTTTGAGCTAAATCTTTCTTAAGTAGCAGTTTTGTTTCTAAAAAAATCAGCCGTTAGACTCTGAACGACACGCCTCTCTGAACCCGAACACATCCATTCGCCGCACGGCTTCATGACTCTGAAAATCAGCCAAACGTCTGGGGTATAAATATCACAATATCCAAATAAAGCGCGGTCTGCCGAGAGCGAGCGGCGGCCTCCAGGCTGCAGCTGGCTCACATCTGTCTGTGGACCGCTTCTGAATTATGGAGCTAAATGTCAGTCAGCCAGCTGTAGGTGCAGCTGGTGGGTCAAATACTCAGGAGCAGCATCCACCATGTCGTCCTGCTGGGACACGAGTGTGTGTGTGTGTGTGTGTGTGTGTGTGTGTGTGTGTGTGTGTGTGTGTGTGTGTGTGTGTCGCAGGAATACAGATGAGGAAGCAAAGAAGTAACAGGAAAACGTTAAGATACTGTAAATGCTGGAATAAAGACGGGTGTTCAGTCCTGTAATAACTGAGATTATGAGCTTCATGAGTGATTTAAGGTGTTTGTGGTTTATTTCTATAACAGAATCTGTAAATTGATCGGTACGGTCTGTATGAATATAACATCAGTTTTGTCGTTAACCACATCACAGGCTGTATGATCGCCCAGAGCTGCACTGCGAGCTCTAATCCTGACGGGCCTGAAGAGAATCTGACAAGCCTGTTCCTCCATGATGAAGATGAGTCGATGACAAACCAGAATTAGGGCGATGTTTTCAGTTAGTCGAGGGGCGCAGCATTCATTTCGTCAGCTGTTTGTAACAAACGCATCGTTTTTTTCTTCCTCGTTTTTATAAACGTTTTTAGCTGCATGACGGTAAAGCTTCGACTCTATGTTGAATGTTTTCGCTTTTCTTCGTCTGAAACTGGACCAAACTATTATGAGCAAAAATGACTAAAAAAAAGACATTTTAGTCCATGAACTGAGACGAGAATTAAATCTAAAACAGCTGCTGAAATTATAGACTAAAGTTCGTTACACATCGGGGCAAATCAGCGAACCGAATAATTTGCTTTTTTTTTTAAACCTAATAGAGTCAATGCACGCTTTCGCACCAGCTACGAACTTCCACAGAGCAAAAAAGCGACTGGAAATTTTTCGCCCCTGTAGTGAATTTTGCGAACATTTATAAATCTATAGCCGAATATCAATCTTACCTCTGACATGTGGTGTGCCGTTGCTCTAGATCAGATCCATCAACTCTGGAGCAGTTCTTGAAAACTGTCCGAGGATCTTTCTGAATTATTGTCGGAATTTCTTGGGATACAATTTGAGCTCCTGGATCGTTGGGTGGAGCTCCCCCATCTCCTGTCGTGGGTCAGTATTGGACGTACTCAGACGCTTCTTCTATTTGTTATTTCATCGGCTTACAACAAGGTGACCATACGTCCTCTTTTACCCGGACATGTCCTCTTTTTTCGGGGTCTGTCCTACTTTGTCCGGGGAGGTTAAAAAATCCTTCAAATGTCCACGGTTTGGTTTGGAAGTTTTGAGTTTGTGTCGTGTGGACTAACTGAGTTAGAAGCTCATAAAAAACACTCGAAAAACTCTAAATAAACTCTGTGACTCCGCCCCCGCGTAGTCGTGTCATCATTTTGGGGATTCAGAATGTGGTCAACCTCGCTTACAACCACGACCAGGTCATCATCTCTTGAGGACGTAGTCGCCGTCGTTCCTCCTTCTTCTCTCCCGCCCTCTGTTCTCCCGTGGCGTATTTTTATGCAAATATGTGAATTTTATTCGCGCCCCACCGAATGTGTTTAGGAAAAGGTGTAAGCTGAATATTTCGCGTTGTTTCGCCAATCCACCGGTGTGTAACGACTTTAATAGATGAAGTTATCAGTTTGGAGATAAAAGCTGCTCAGAGTCCTTCAATCAGTTTCTCAGGAGAAGATGAAAAACGCGGTTTGAGGCTCTTCTGATGTTTAGATATAAGCGAGGATAAAACCGCGCGTTAAAACCAAATGTACCTCGAGCGAAATGATGCGACAAGATTTGTTTTCGAGAACTCAGGAATCCCAAAGACACGATCGAACCGTGAGGATTTGAGAAAACAGAGATGTAACAGCGTTTATTATCCGTCTGTTGCGTGAAAACAGCTGATGTGACTGATCTCCAGGATACGGTGACACCGCGGGCTGTCACCACAAACAAGCGCGGCTCCGACAGCTTCTTCAGCACGAGCGATGGCTTCTTTAAGCACAGACAATTTCACACATGAAAGATTTACAGCCCAGCGATGGGAAATCCATCCGTCTGAAGGCCTTTGAGGTGTAAAGGAATAAAAAATCACAGCGCCTGTCAGCCTCTGAAGCACATACACATGTCTGAGAATACAGATGGTGGCAGCCTGCGAGGTATGGACCAGGAAATGAATGAGAACACAGGCTTCAGCGGGCCTCCCAGGGAAGAATAAATACAAATCCCCCAGCCTTTGGACGGTGCCGACGGAGAGAAAATAAGCCTCTAACCGCGCACGCTATCGCTAAAATTTCAGCGCCGATGCTGAGGGCGAGCAGGCTACAAAGAAGTAATGAAATATACATTTTACAGGCCGAGGCAGATTTAAGGATTAAATTAAATCATGCCCACTAACTTTTATGTCTTCATCATCATTTTATTGTTTCTAGGTCTCACACGATCTTTACAACAGTATGGGTATAAAAGAAACACCGCTGACAGGCCATGGAGCTCCTCAAACACGCTTGAGGATATGACCGTGATGTGTTCGGGTCTGCGTGTCTCTAAATGAGGTATGTTCCTCTGTGAGGTAAAGCCGTGTTTACCATCTCAGACAGGTACGGACCACCAAACCTTCTCCTCAGTTCTGTTCCTGCAGCCAAAGCCCAGAACTCCACAGGTGAAGCAGAGTTCATTGATACCATCTGTCTGCATTGTGGCAGCAGTGCAGAGTGTGTGTCTGTGTGTGTTTGTCCTTTTGTGTGTGTTTGAACAGCAGAGAGACACACAGTTAAAGGAGAAAGATGCCAAAACATCAGCTGTTTAAATACGACCATAAAACAAACGTAGAACCAGAACCCGGACCGAGTCATTGGAGGCAGTTTTTAATTTACAAGGATGAAGATTTCTGCTCAGAGCGTCAGAAAACCATCATGTGAACCATCACCTGAAGTTTGTAAAGTTTAATGGAACACTTTTACAACTTATGGAGGAAAGAGAAACTCAGTCTAAACACTCTGGGCCGTTTCTGGACAATCAGTGTCTGTTGAAGCGTGGATGGAGGTTAAAGTTGATGTAGGCAGGAATCTGTTAAAAAAGCATCTAAAAAGCATCTAAAAAGCATCGGTGCTACCGAGATGCCAACAGACTACCAGCAAACACAATGTTTGCAGGACTTCTACAACGAGGATAAAGTGACATAGTCCAGGACCCGAGGGAGGACAGTTTAGCGATGGCGCTACAACACGCTACAGCAGGTCCGTTTGACAAGAAACACTTCTGTTACAGACACTTGTCTTACTTTGTTAAAGCGGTTTACCTGTCCAGCAGAAAGGTTACAGGGTCACCAAGATCCCCAAGCGTCCCCCATGGTTTATGTTGACCCGGCTTTTTAGCTCTTGTCCGGTCTACCTCCGTTTTAAGCGCCCGTTATTCCTCCAGAGTCTCCGGTATTTACTTTGTTTTCTTGCTTGTGTCGGCAGTCGTGGCCAAAGGAGGATTCAGACAATTTTCCGAACTTTCTGGTTGGTTTCTACTGTCCGATATTGTAGCACGCTAACTTTGTTTGGGCTCCTGAACGACACGGGGGAGCAGCATTTTCTTGTTGACTGTTTTCTTGTTGACCGGTTTGGTGTTGACTGTTTTCTTGTTGACTGTTTTCTTGCTGACTGTTTTCTTGCTGACTGTTTTCTAGTTGACTGTTTTGGTGTTGGCTGTTTATGGTTGACTGTTTTCTTGTTGACTGTTTACTTGTTGACTGATTATGGTTGACTGTTTTCTTGCTGACTGTTTTCTTGCTGACTGTTTTCTTGTTGACTGTTTATGGTTGACTTTTTTCTTGTTGACTGTTTTCTTGCTGACTGTTTTCTTGTTGACTGATTATGGTTGACTGTTTTCTTGCTGACTGTTTTCTTGTTGACTCTTTTGGTGTTGGCTGTTTATGGTTGACTGTTTTCTTGTTGACTGTTTACTTGTTGACTGTTTTCTTGTTGACTGTTTTCTTGTTGACTGTTTACTTGTTGACTGTTTTCTTGCTGACTGTTTTCTTGCTGACTCTTTTGGTGTTGGCTGTTTATGGTTGACTGTTTACTTGTTGACTGTTTTCTTGCTGACTGTTTTCTTGTTGACTGTTTATGGTTGACTTTTTTCTTGTTGACTGTTTTCTTGTTGACTCTTTTGGTGTTGGCTGTTTATGGTTGACTGTTTTCTTGTTGACTGTTTACTTGTTGACTGTTTTCTTGTTGACTGTTTACTTGTTGACTGTTTTCTTGTTGACTGTTTTCTTGTTGACTGTTTACTTGTTGACTGTTTTCTTGCTGACTGTTTTCTTGCTGACTCTTTTGGTGTTGGCTGTTTATGGTTGACTGTTTACTTGTTGACTGTTTTCTTGCTGACTGTTTTCTTGTTGACTGTTTATGGTTGACTTTTTTCTTGTTGACTGTTTTCTTGTTGACTCTTTTGGTGTTGGCTGTTTATGGTTGACTGTTTTCTTGTTGACTGTTTACTTGTTGACTGATTATGGTTGACTGTTTTCTTGTTGACTGTTTTTGCTGACTGTTTTCTTGTTGACTGTTTTCTTGTTGACTGTTTTGGTTTTGACTGTTTTCTTGTTGACTGTTTTCTTGTTGACTGTTTTGGTTTTGACTGTTTATGGTTGACTGTTTTCTTGTTGACTCTTTTGGTGTTGACTGTTTTTTGCTGACTGTTTTGGTGTTGTCTGTTTTCTTGTTGACTGATTATGGTTGACTGTTTTCTTGCTTGTGTCGGCAGTCTGCCTCACAACCAATCAGGTTAGAGGAGGTGGAGAACGGCTTTGTTTACAGTCAGAAAGAGCGGACCGCTCAAAAATGTTCAAATGTTGACGACACAGACATAAGAGAACACAGAGATATCGATATATTACCAAATGTCATCAATAACTAATAACTATTGACTGATATTTAAAGATTTTTATATAAAAACCACAAAATAAAAAGATGCTTCTTTAACAGATTCCTGTCTACTTCACCTTTAAGTCGGTTTTCTTCTTGTGGACCAGACTTCTTTCCTTAGACTAGAGATCAGCTGGACTCTCTCATATGAACACTGAGTTCTTGTTGCTGATGTGGATCTGTGTGAGTCTGAGTGTGTTTGTTTTTTGCTGCCATTCTTGGTCAGGACCCCCCCTGAAAAAGAGATTGATGATCTCAACAGGACTAGTCTGGTTACATCAAATCAAAAAGACACACAACCTGCCTCCTGTCTTTGTCCTCTACAGAAAACCTGATCCAGCTGCAGGACTCACATCTGGGACATGTAAGACCACATGGATCCATGACCCAGACGGACCGGTAACATGACATCCAGCAGAAACAGACACAATAAAGACAAACAGACGAGGTGATTTCAATGACTCAGTTTGAGGATTTTTATGATTTTTTTTTCTGATCACAATCAGAGACTTGACCACAATCTGAGCTGAGTCAGAAACATCCAAACAGTCGGACTAATAAATGTGATTATTATTATTAGAGTGATTGAAAAGCTCATAACAACATGTAGATCTGTCCAAAGTCTGATTCTAGATGTCTTTACAAACACACTGATCCAACAGAAGCAGACAGAAATATCCATCGATCACATGAACACAAATATTCAGCAAACAGAGAAAGAAACAGATCATCTGAAGAGTTTTTGGGGACGACTGGAAAGACTTTAGACGCTTGGATTTGGGACAGGAAATAAGGTCGTCCTTTTTCTGTGATTTTGACCTCACTTTTTTCTAAAGTCTCAGACCTTCAACATCTGCACCAACTGAAGGTGATTTGAACAAACCATCATCTTGATGTTGTTGATATCAAACTTGATGAAGATTTTTCAACATGAGAAATACAAACAATCAAAGTTCTCCACAATCACTGTCCTTAAAGCTGCGACCAAATCAGCATCTTTAGAAAAGAATCAAAAAGCTGAAATGAAGAACTAAACCCAGAGTTTTTGGTGAGACTGATCCACAAACATTTACAAACCAGAACATTTCAAGAGTTCAAGGATCTCAGTCCATGATTTTGGTCTGATGGACTCAAAATTCTCTTTATTTCACTTCTATAAACTCAGCAGAGTCTCCAAACCAGCCTAACATCAGTCCAGCATGTAGAGGTTCAGTGAATGTGGTCTGGACTCTGTGGAGGAGAGTCATGGTTTTAGAGACGCTGTAGAAGGACAGAATACCTGCTCTGTGGTCCAGGTACACTCCTACTCTGGAGGACTGAGGACCTGAGACACGAGTGCAGACTTTGTTGTGAACAAATTGATAACTGTCTTTAGAACAGAATAACCTCCAAGATTTGTCATTTTCTCCAAATCTACAATCCTCTGAGTTCCCGTCTCTCCTGATAGTCTTGTATGCGACTGCTACACCAACCCCTATCCCTCTCCGCTCCACCTCCCAGTAACAACGTCCAGTCAGACTCTCTCTACTCAGGACCTGAAGATAATCAGTGAATCTGTCTGGATGATCAGGATAAGACTGTCGTTGTCTTGTCCATGTTGCTCTTCTGTTTCCATCAAATAATTTCAGCCATCTGTGTGCTGTGTTTGGATCCAGTGTGATTCTTTGTGAATATCTTAAGAAATCAGCTCTGGTCTTGGGTTCTGGTTCTAACAGTAAAACATCCACTTCAGTCACTGCCTGTGAGACGTTTGTCCACGTCTCTGTCAGAAGATCCTGGAGTTTCTCTCTGAGCTCTGACACAGCTGCTGTCACCTCCTCAAAGTATCTCAGAGGACGGATGTTGATTCTGGATGAGTCTGCAGGTTGACCCGGTTCTGACAGTGAGGGGTAGCTGTGCAGAAACTGGTTGTGGTCCTCTGTGAGTGAGAGCTTCTGCAGATCAGCGTCTTTCCTCTTCAGCTCAGTGATCTCCTGCTCCAGTTTCTCCTGAAGCTCTTTGACTCGACTCACTTCACGTTCCTGCTGGGATCTGACCTGCTGCTCCACCTCAGAGCGGCGTTTCTCCATCAGACGGATCAGCTGGTTGAAGATCTTCTGGCTGTGCTCCACAGCTTTATCAGCAGAGCCGTTGATAGCCTCCACCTCCTGTTGGAGCAGCTTCACATCTTCTTCTCTGTCCTTGATTCTCTGCTGGATGTTTTCTTTCAGATCTTTCTGCCTCTCAGTCCTTTCTGCTGCAGCTGAGACTGTGTCGTGACCTTTGTGTTGGTCCAAACAGCAGAGATGACAGATGGACTTCTGATCAGTGCGGCAGAACATCTTCATCACCTCATCATGACGAGAGCAGATGTTCTCCTGGAGCTTCTTGGAGGGCTCCACCAGCTTGTGTTTCTTAAATGAAGGTGATTCAAAATGAGGCTGGAGGTGAATCTGACAGTAAGAAACCAGACATTGAAGACAGGACTTGACAGATTTCAGTTTTCTCCCACTGCAGAAATCACAGGCCACATCTTCAGGTCCAGCCTCAGAGGAACCATCAGGAGCAGCTTGGAGTCCGCTCTTCTTCAGGTCCTCCACTAAACCTGCTAACATGGTGTTTTTCTTCAGGACAGGCCTCGGTATGAAGGTCTGTCTGCACTGAGGACAGCTGTAGATCCTCTTCTCAGCCTCAGTATCCCAGTAGGATTGAATACAGCTCATGCAGAAGCTGTGTCCACAGGTAACAGTCACCGGATCCTTCAGAAGATCCAAACAGATGGAACAAGAGAAAGACTCACGGTCCAGATGAACTCCTTTCTGCGCCATTTCAACACTCGCTGTCGACGACGACTGACTGAGATTTATTTCCTGAGAAGTGAAACTAGTCTGAGCTCTGATCTCAACAACATGTGTCAGTCAGCAGGATCAGCTCAGCACACAGCGGTTACACCCAACCTTTAGGCTGTAGATCTGAGGGGGAGGAAGGAAGGCAGGGAAGGAAACAAGGAAGTGAGAGTGCAGAGTGGAGTGAGCTGTGAGAGAGGAGGGAGGGGGGATCCAGTTTGTCTACAATCCAGGACGAGGAGTGTCTCTGTGAACTTTAGACTCTCAAACTCCAACAAGCAGAAGTTCTTAAAGCTGCAGCCGTCCTGAAGATCAACTGAACCAACATTTATTCACCTCATAGAAACCTCATCGAGCAGAAACACACTTCAACTGTTTTAGAGACACAGAGTTAGAGATACAACACAGAGAAACACTCTCTCTCTCTCCTCCCTCTCTGCTCCAGCAAGCCCCGCCCACAAACAGACGCTCCTGCTCGCTCGTATCGTTCCAGTTAAATTCAGATATAATGCAGATAAATACTTCAGATCATTACAAATGGGGCCCAGTCAAGGTGAAAGTCAAAAGCATTGGTGCTACTGTAGATGCCAACAGACTACCAGCAAACACAATGTTTGCAGGACTTCTACAACGAGGATAAAGTGACATAGTCCAGGACCCGAGGGAGGACAGTTTAGCGATGGCGCTACAACACGCTACAGCAGGTCCGTTTGACAAGAAACACTTCTGTTACAGACACTTGTCTTACTTTGTTAAAGCGGTTTACCTGTCCAGCAGAAAGGTTACAGGGTCACCAAGATCCCCAAGCGTCCCCCATCGTTTATGTTGACCCGGCTTTTTAGCTCTTGTCCGGTCTACCTCCGTTTTAAGCGCCCGTTATTCCTCCAGAGTCTCCGGTATTTACTTTGTTTTCTTGCTTGTGTCGGCAGTCGTGGCCAAAGGAGGATTCAGACAATTTTCCGAACTTTCTGGTTGGTTTCTACTGTCCGATATTGTAGCACGCTAACTTTGTTTGGGCTCCTGAACGACACGGGGGAGCAGCGTTTTCTTGTTGACTGTTTTCTTGTTGACTGTTTTCTTGTTGACTGTTTTGGTGTTGACTGTTTATGGTTGACTGTTTTCTTGTTGATTGTTTTCTTGTTGACTCTTTTGGTGTTGACTGTTTTTTGCTGACTGTTTTGGTGTTGTCTGTTTTCTTGTTGACTGATTATGTTTGAGTGTTTTCTTGCTTGTGTCGGCAGTCGTGGCCAAAGGAGGATTCAGACAATTTTCCGAACTTTCTGGTTGGTTTCTACTGTCCGATATTGTAGCACGCTAACTTTGTTTGGGCTCCTGAACGACACGGGGGAGCAGCGTCTGCCTCACAACCAATCAGGTTAGAGGAGGTGGAGAACGGCTTTGTTTACAGTCAGAAAGAGCGGACCGCTCAAAAATGTTCAAATGTTGACGACACAGACATAAGAGAACACAGAGATATCGATATATTACCAAATGTCATCAATAACTAATAACTATTGACTGATATTAAAAGATTTTTTGTTGACGCTTCTTTAACGGATTCCTGTCTACCCCACCATCAAGGGGGCTAATAATTTTTACCCTGGTAGTTTTTGTGTTTTGTGAAATAATTTTGTTTCTGTCTGCAAAGTTAAATAATGTAAGGATCCAAAATAAAACTAGGATGTTTGGAAAAGCTCAAATTTCATCGGGGGGGCTAATAATTTTGGCCACAGCTGTAATTACTAAATCGTCTCCACCTTGTTGATGGTCCTCGCCGCACATTCATGACGTGGACGTGTGTTTTAAAGGCTTTCCTCCTGACCTCAGTTTGGACCCTATCTCTCTAAATCACAGATTTCTCTTTCCTCACGTTTCCTTTTAACTGCAATTTGCCTGCTTGACAGTTTGAGCCGTGCGTCAGGAGCCTGACAGCTTCCTGGAAAAAAGCAGCACTAAATTTAGTCCTCGCTGCGGTGCATGTGAGGTAAAGACCGCGGGCCCCTGGCAGCTGGTGGAGTAGAATAAGACGCTTATGTAAAAGAGAGAAAAAAATAAAACAATTGTGAATGGTTACAGGAGGACAAAGGCGCTTCATGCAGAGCAATTCAACGCTGAGAGTTTCCACTTTACAGCCGTGATTAATTCAGGGTGTCCAAATCGTTTCACTCTGGGCTATTGCTCTGAAATTGATTTTCACAAACTTGCACAGGTCCCCGTCAGCGCAGAGTTAGTTCGACAGAAAAACAAAGTCTCCACATTAGCGATGCCTCTGTTTCTCCGTCTCTCTGAGTTTCGCTCTTATTTATGTGGGAGGGTTTGGGGGCCTGCTGCATGTCTGCGCCTGAGGGGCTGCTGTTTCATAACACCTCCATCTCTCTGCAGCAGGCGGAGGAACTGAGAGGAGAGTTTTTAGAGTGGATTTATTGGTGCAACATCTGCAGAACATTTTCATCTTCACCCTGCAACAAAAGAGCGTTTTAGTCAGCGTGTAAACCCAGGAGGGCCGGCTCTTGGTGAAGGCAGGACATGTTTCAGCGAAGGAGGAAGAGGCAGAATTTAACCATCGAACAGTTAGCAGCCGCGGCAAGGTCTGTCATAAAGTGCCCTGAAGTTAACTGCAGCTGGTCTCTGCTGATGTCAGTTTTCTTCCCCCAATAAAAATAAAAGTTGTGGGTGTCTGCAAAGTTTGTTTCTGCCCACACGAACGCACTAAAACCCAACCCCTCAGAGTTTCTCTGAAACAAGGCAGCAGCAGCAGTTTTTATGTGAGTCTGAGAGGCTCCGCTGAGGATTCTGGATTCTGTACTGACCCGGTCTTTCAGTCGAAACAGAATCAGATGTTTTGGAAATCATTTAAGCATCAAGTTAAATTTTAAAGAAATACAAAAACTACATCTTATAAGTTTAAATTGTTGATTTCAGCTGTTTGACTTTGAAGTCTTTTTAGTTGTATGTTCGTCAGCAGGACTCTTCTACTACAGAGCCATGCTGTTGTGATCAGGGGTGTACTGATACAACTTTTTTACTTCTGATCTGATACCGATATTGTAGCCTTCAGTTTTGGCTGATACTGATATTGATCTGATATTGGCATAAAAGTGCACATGACAAGTTTTGCACTCAGCTGCAACATCTTTAGTACCTTTAGTACACACTGTTGTTGTTGTTGTGATCACATGTGCTCTACATTCTGGATCCGGGAACTGCTGGATAGAAGTGCCGGAGCGGAATCTGGAGTGGACTGCTTGTATCGGAGATTTTAGATGCTGGCTGATATAATCCGATATTTGATTATTTGCTGATATCGGACCAATATGGAGTTGTTCCCTTTGACTTTTGTCAGCAGCAGCGCTTGTTCGCCTCACTCTCTTGTCACTCATGGAGATATGCTGTTACATTGACGTTTCTTTACTTTACCCGCGCGACTCACTTTATAGACCGTGTATAAGCTTGAACGTTACCTTTCACATTAATGGAAGAGGGTCAGACAGGATTTGATGCGCTTGTTGATGACTCAAACCAAGTCGAGAAAAACGACGTGTGTTGTTGGGCTCACACACTGCGAGTAGAAAGGGGGAAACACTGCAATATCTGATATCGGATATCGAATATCGGTTTGATATTGATGTTGGATACCGGTCCGATATTGATATCAGACCGATCTCAGATATCAATATCGCATTGGGATATCCCTGATTGTAATCCCTGCAGAACGTGGTTTGTCATTCTCTTGATGGCTGTATATATATATATATGTTACCAAAACCTGTGAAATCATCCAATGACGATGAAGGAGATTTACTAAGGCGGTGAGACAAAGTGTTTGTTTAATGCATCAATGAATAAACTTTTGAGACAGTCGTCATTTTGCAAATCCAGCTCCGGTATCTCCAGCCACAACTTACAACTTACCAAAAACTCCTAAAAACAGACTGTAAGGTAAGCGTGGTCCTCATGAAACGTCACGCAGTCAAACATCTCCTCCAGACTGGATGTATGTGAATCATCCGCCGTTCTCCAGCTTCAGGACAAAGATGTAAATCTCTCTCTGAGAACAGGTGTGTCTTTACCCGCTTTGAAAGTGTTTTCTTGGAGACGTTTTCACTCGGAAACCGCCTTTTTTGTACTTCAGGCTGCAGAGCGTCACCTCGCAGAACAACGATGACGGCGTCGGGTTGGTGGAGTCAAACTGTGAGGGTGGAGAGAAAACTGGAGGTGTTTCCTATGACTAAATTTAGCAGTGCTGAATATCTTGGTATGTAAATGGAGCGACTGTATGAATGTTTCATTGAGGATCGGGTGAGGTAGTGTGTGCAAAGAGAGGGCCAACACATTATCAAATATACATCATAACCTTTTTAAAGGGGCTGTTAACAGAAGGTGTGTGGGCGGGGACTATAACTCAGTGAGTCACGAGCTCGCTCTCCAAGAACCCTGACCCCGCTGTGAGGTTATCTCAAACGCTTTTTAAAGAGGTTTTTTTTGGTCCATTAAGTGGAGATCTGATGTAGATACGACCCCGCGATAGCTCACAGTGAACCGAAGTGAAGATCAAGTCAGAGAGAGTTCACTTCGACTGCATGAATAAAACACAGACTGTCAGGAACTTTGCACCGGCAAACAATCCACACGGGGAAAACCACTTGGCAAATAAAAACAGTATTTTAGAGTAAATATGGTTTATATTTTATGAAGGGAATGTGGAAACAGTTTGAAAGGGGATGCTCTCCGTGATTTATCCAACAGAAATGATCACACTGAGCTGTTTGAAGCAGAATAAACACCCGCCCTGAAATAACAGCTTTTTTCTCTTTAGGTTTATTTGATGGTTTCTCAGTGAGTTCAGTTAACCCGATCTGCTCCATCCGAGACCTGCAATGTGACCTGACCCTGTTTATTCATAAATAAGAGGGTTAAAACACTAAAGGAGAGCAGGAGTGAGTGAGTCTGAAAAGCAAAGGGACAGAAAGCGCCGGTAAAAGAGAGCGGCTGTCGCGATCATGAAGCTAAAGGACATCATCTAAAAACCGTTAAACGACTGAATGTTACATGTTCAACCTGCAGCCTGTGATCCATTTCTGGGGTCGCTGGGGGGGTGGAGCCTATCCCAGCATCTTCGGGCGAAGGTAGGGGACACCTTGGACAAGTCGCCGGTTCATCGCAGAGCTGACATCTAGAGACGAACAACCAGCTGGTAGGAATTGGCGTACGGCGAAAATCGGATGCAGTGGA